TGCCTGTTAGTTTATTTGTTTTCCCAGTTCAGTTAGTTTTCTGTTCTTCTTATTTTCCCATAATAAACCGAGTATCTTCAGTTCACCTCTGCCTCTGCGAGTCCTGCCTTTGGGTTCAATCCTGCCTGCCTGCACAGCACACAGCCATGACAATTTCTTTACATTCTGATCGCTTCAGTTACACTGGGGAGGTTTTAAACATTTTAAACAAGATTATTTATCTAAAGTGCCCATAAAGGGATCATTAGCTGCTCGCTCATAACACAAGATTATCTAAATGTTGTTATGCAAAAAAATTAAAGTTGCCCTGATTTCAAAACCAATGTGACAGACTTTCATGTTATTGAGGTATACTAGGGGCTTAAACAGTGAATATTCAACAAGAAAGTTTTAAGAAAAAAGAACAAAAAGTCTGTGTGCTGAAAACCACCAAAATTCCAGTCAGAAACTGCACATTCACTGATGTGAGTAGAAAATTTGTACCAAGAGACACATTTTATTAAATTTACATTGAATGGTCATGTATAATAATCCCAAAACAAACATTCAGCTGACAGCTCCCTCTTGTGGTACTGAAGGTTATACAATGCGTTTTTACATGGCAAGACCAAGGTCTATTAAGTTCTCATTAGTGATCATGATAGACTACAGCTAGTTGTTTTGAAAGGGATTTGTTTAAAATTGGGAAGATCTCTTAAAGTCCAGACTCATTTTTGGGGCCACTCTTGAGTGAGCACTATAGCTGTTGGCACTTCAGTGGTGGTTTTCTGCTTGTTTAGGTTGTACATCTTTTACCACCTATGAGGGTTTTGTGGAGACACTAATATGTGTCATTTCAGGAAGGGTAGAAACAAGTTTTTCTTTTTATGATGCACCTCAAGTATAGCCAATTGAATTTCGACTTTAGGTTGTTTTTCTTTTTTGTCTTGTTATTTAAGATTTGCCCTCTGAGATCAGCTAACGAGTCATCAAAATGTGAAAAGGTGCCTCAACTACTCAGTTGTAGATAGAGTAGTTTGTGCTTGCAGCTCCTGATGATAAATCTACTGAAATAAAAGTCAATCAGGACATGCAGGAGGAGTAGAGGTACTGCAGAAATACACCAAAGTACAACTGCTGTGTAAATACACTTGTATACTTTGCACCCCAGACATGTAATGTGTGACAGCTCATTATCATCAGTACTGCAGTGCTGGCTCCATCTAGTGTTCACTATTCATGCAAACATCACCACAGCAGATCATCAAGGTGCCATAATGTTTCTCTCTAAACCAAAACCCTTTGAAGGTAACCAGGCAAAATCGAATCACATTAAAACACTTGAAGCGTCTTGTTTTATTGGTTTATAGCATTGAATCAATCGTAATTTCTTGGTTCTTATAAACACAGATCAACAGCAAAGACTACTCAAAGCTACATGGAACTATTCACATTTTTTCAATAAGGTAGGGCACTCATAAATACATAAAACACACATAAATCAGTTTGTCAGTTCTGAGATCCCCTATTGTTCATTTTCTCTTCGCTCCAACATGATCAGCTCAGTTTCTGTGGTGATGGCAGTCTGATTCAGACAACAGCACTAAATTGAAAATGCAAACAGCTGACATTTGTACAGAATTCACAGGATTCACATGAAAATAAATCAGGCTTTAGAAAGGCTTTTCTCAAATGTCTGAGTGAAATTTCTACATATATTTTCTTTATTTACACCGTTGGCTTTTAATTGTCCAACAAACAAAATGAACAAAAAGCAAACTTTAGACTGTTCTAGAGGCCAAGTGGGGACCTCATGGAAATCTCTGGATGACAGGGAGAAATGTGTATTCACTGACAGGTTTCTGTAAACCCAGATAGACAGCAGAGTGCTGCAGTCACCTGCGGTTTGCATGGAAGATACTGACTTGTCTAAAAACATATTTGCTCTACTCTTCAAAGTAAAAGTTACACAGTTGGAAATGTGTTATTTGCAATGTAAGGCACAACTTTTACTTTAAAGGCAAAGAGTCAGTTTTTAGCATCACACTTTTCACAGTTTAACTCGAGCTCAGAGGGTAGTTATTGAATGTCTGCAGGCAAGGCAGTATCTTCCATGCAAACTGCTGGCAACCTGCAATTGCAATATTTTTGATGCAGCACTGTATAGCTTATCGTGACCAATTTCACCCTAGTAACTTCCATTAGTCACTCCAACCAGCCTGTAACGCAGACCAGGGATTTCATTACCATTACCTGTATTTTTATCAGTGTATGAGTGATTGCTATTTAGGTTGATGTGTGTTAGAAGTCCTCAACTTTTCCTAGTTGCTTCCTCTGGGGTAAACCAATGTGCCACAATAGGGGAGTTTAGGTTAGAGTGTTTCCAATATACATCACTGAATAAAGCACAAATGTTGTTGAAGCTGTTATTGGAGTTTGTTTATGTGTAAATATGTCTTCTTTGTATTATATTTTGGTTTGATATTTGTGTATGTCCTTCGACGCACGTATTAAACAAATATGTAAGACTGCTTTCTTCCATTTACGCAACATCTCTAAAATTAGAAATATCCTGTCTC